ACAAAGAAACTATTAGAGCTAATAAATGAATTCAGCAAAGTGGCAGGATATAAAATCAACACGCATAAATCAAAGGCATTCCTGTATATCAGCGACAAATCCTCTGAAATGGAAATGAGGACAACCACTCCATTCACAATATCTTCAAAAAAAATAAAATACTTGGGAATCAACCTAACAAAAGAGGTGAAAGACTTATACAATGAAAACTACAGAACCCTAAAGAGAGAAATAGAAGAAGATCTTAGAAGATGGAAAAATATACCCTGTTCATGGATAGGCAGAACTAACATCATCAAAATGGCGATATTACCAAAAGTTCTCTATAGGTTTAATGCAATGCCAATCAAAATCCCAACGGCATTTCTTGTAGAAATAGAGAAAGCAATCATGAAATTCATATGGAAAAACAAAAGACCCAGAATAGCAAAAACAATGCTAAGCAGGAAGTGTGAATCAGGCGGTATAGGGATACCAGACTTCAAACTATACTACAGAGCAATAGTAACAAAAACAGCATGGTACTGGTACCAAAACAGGCGGGTGGACCAATGGTACAGAATAGAGGACACAGAAACCAATCCACAAAACTACAACTACCTTATATTTGATAAAGGGGCTAAAAGCATGCAATGGAGGAAGGATAGCATCTTCAACAAATGGTGCTGGGAAAACTGGAAATCCATATGCAACAAAATGAAACTGAATCACTTTCTCTCGCCATGCACAAAAGTTAATTCAAAATGGATCAAGGAGCTTGATATCAAATCAGAGACACGCCGTCTGATAGAAGAAAAAGTTGGCTACGATCTACATACTGTGGGGTCAGGCTCCAAATTCCTCAATAGGACACCCATAGCACAAAAGTTAATAACTAGAATCAACAAATGGGACTTACTCAAACTAAAAAGTTTTTTCTCAGCAAAAGATACAATAAGAGAGGTAAATAGAGAGCCTACATCCTGGGAACAAATCTTTACTCCTCACACTTCAGATAGAGCCCTAATATCCAGAGTATACAAAGAACTCAAAAAATTAGACAATAAGAGAACAAACAACCCAATCAACAAATGGGCCAAGGACCTGAACAGACACTTCTCAGAGGAGGACATACAATCAATCAACAAGTACATGAAAAAATGCTCACCATCTCTAGCAGTCAGAGAAATGCAAATCAAAACCACCCTAAGATACCATCTCACTCCAGTTAGATTGGCAGCCATTATGATGTCAAACAACAACAAGTGCTGGCGAGGATGTGGGGAAAAGGGTACACTTGTACATTGCTGGTGGGACTGCAAATTGGTGCAGCCAATTTGGAAAGCAGTATGGAGATTTCTTGGAAAGCTGGGAATGGAGCCACCATTTGACCCAGCTATTCCCCTTCTCGGTCTATTCCCTAAAGACCTAAAAAGAGCATGCTACAGGGACACTGCTACATCGATGTTCATAGCAGCACAATTCACAATAGCTAGACTGTGGAACCAACCTAGATGCCCTTCAATGGATGAATGGATAAAAAAAATGTGGCATTTATACACAATGGAGTATTACTCTGCATTAAAAAATGACAAAATCATAGAATTTACAGGGAAATGGATGGCATTAGAGCAGATTATGCTAAGTGAAGCTAGCCAATCCCTAAAAAACAAATGCCAAATGTCTTCTTTGATATAAGGAGAGTAACTAGGAACAGAGTAGGGTCGAAGAGCATGAGAAGAAGATTAACATTAAACAGGGATGACAGGTGGGAGGGAAAGGGAGAGAGAAGGGAAAATGCATGGAAATGGAAGGAGACCCTCAGAGTTATACAAAAGTACATACAAGAGGAAGTGAGGGGAAGGGGAAAAATAATATAAGGGGGACAAACGAATGTCAGTAGAGGGAGCAGAGAGAGAAGAGGGGAGGGGAGGGGAGGGGGGATAGTAGAGGATAGGAAAGGCAGCAGAATACAACAGACACTAGTATGGCAATATGTAAATCAATGGATGTGTAACTGATGTGATTCTGTAATCTGTATATGGGGTAAAAATGGGAGCTCATAACCCACTTGAATCAAATTGTGAAATATGATATATCAAGAACTATGTAATGTTTTGAACAGCCAACAATAAAAAAATTAAAAAAAAAAAAAAAGAAATTGTATGAGGACTTCTCCCCACATTTTTGCTGGGGGGAAACACAGACAAGATGAGTACAAAAAAAAAAAAAAAAAAAGAAAGTAAGAGAGTGAAATGTGACACACATATTCTTCTAAAGCTAAAATATTATGATTTTTAAACTAAAAATATTATTAAGTGAATTAAAGTAGAATATATCTCTGTAATTTTTATTATAACTTGGATTATAATGTTCAAGAATAACTTGAAAAGCGGAGCCAAAATAAAAAGAGATGGAAATCATGTAAAAAAGGATAAGTGACTTGGAGGATGGTCAAGAAGCTTAACATATTCATAACAGGAATTTCAGAAGTAGGAAAAAAGAGAAGAGTTCAAGGTTAAATTCACTAAATAGCTGAAGCAATAATAATTAAATAAATAATGGCAGAAAGAGTACCTGGGGTGGAGAAATAATAAATGATAATAAATAATTATATACTCCATATTGTTGCCATAGCAGTAATGAAGAATTATACATTTTCTATATGTCAGGCACTGTTCTAATTGCTTTTATTAATACTAATTCATTTAGTCTTGAAAAGATCCTATATATCATTTTCATCTTGCAAATAAGAGACTGAAGCACAGAATGGTCAAGTTTGCCTTAAACTTCACAGCTAGTAAGTGCCAGAGCTGGAATTAGAACCCAGGCAGTAAGACTCTAGAAGGCAACTCTGGGCTGAATAGAAAAGATACATATAAAAGGAAATTCTGGTAAGATTCCTGAACTCTAAGATTAAAGAGAAAAGTCTTATAAGCTTCTATGTGTAAAGAACAAATTGTCTATAAAGGTAAGAAAAACCATAGTGGCATGGCGGGATCATCTATGGAAAACGAAATAGTACCCAAGGACCTTGGAGGGAAGCACCACAACTCAACAACCCTGGGCCCTGCTGAAATGGGTGAACCAGGATGAGAGGGAGACACTTGAGGAGAAAGGAATGCAGGCTGTATCTTAGTCAAACACTATGTGTGAGGAAAACACCCAAGAAAACACTAGCCAAGGAACAAATAAAACCAGAGCAGAGGCCTGGAACTGAGAGAGGCAAAGAGAACAAAAACAGGAAGGAGCAATACATCTGCAGTACATCCTTGTGTGTTAGAACTTCTCTGTGAATGCTCAGGCATAGACTATGATATTTAAGTTCTAGGAAATTTTGAAACAGAAAGGGCAATATTAAGAGAAGTTCCTATATACAATAAATAATTTAATTTAATCTAGTTGCTGTGGTTGGTAGAGAAAGGGGGTAATAATGTTTCAAAGGTCTCATTGTAGGCAGGAGTATAGAGAAAAGAATCCTCTAAAGGTCTCACCTCACCATGGGGGAGAAGGAGAAGTTGGTAAAAATGATAATTTTTATCAACTGTCTAGGGAGTAAAAAACCATGTGTCTTAGCAGCTGAAGCCAGTTGATATATTTCTTTAAAGTACCAGTAGAGCTCTATGTGTTTAACTGAGAGAGCTAGGAAAAGGAACTTCGTAGACTAGCACAATAAAATTTCCAAGTGTGGGACAACAATGGATTAGCAGGTAACTTCAAAACAGCAAACACGAAAAGTAAACATAGGGGGCTGGAGATACAGAGCAGTTGGTAGAGTGCTTGCCTCCTATGCACAAGACCCTGGGTTCGATCCCCAGCTCCACCAGGTTAAAACAAACAAAAAAAAGTAAACATAGCTGGGCATGGTGGTGTGCACATCCTCACAGCAGCTTGGGAGGATAAGGCAGGAGGATCTTGGGGTTCAAAGCCAGCCTCAGCAACTTAGTGAGGCCCTAAGCAACTCTTGATGAGACCCTGAGATACATACAAAAATACAAAAATAATATACAAAATAATAATATAATATATATAAAAAAGGGGCTGGGGATGTGGCTGAGTGGTTAAGTGCCTCTTTAGTTCAATCCCCAGTAAACAAAACAAAATGGAACAAACAAACAAAAGTAACCAGATGAATTAAGAAGTTTTGAATGGAAAAAAACCCAGAATATAGTCAAGTCTGAAAGACAGAGACCATCAGAGTGGGACAGAAAAGATCAAAGCAGTTGTGTGTTGGTAAAAAAATACTTAAACTTGAAAATAAAGTAGTAGGAAAGACATTTTAGGCAAACACAAAAAGAAAGGAGTAAAAAATATTAATAAAGAATAGTGAAAGTTAAGTTTAAACTTACTCATCAAGATCAAGAGGATTTTATGTACAATAAAAAGGCACAATTTTGTAATGAAACAATAATGTATATGTACCAAACCACATAGAAGCTAAATAATGCAATAACTAATAAAAATGCAAAAACAATATAAATACAATAATATGAGATTTCAAAATAGCTCTTTCAGAAAGGACCAGATAGTAACACAGTAAGTAAAGGTCATAGAGAACATTTCTTAATCAGAAAATAAAATTATCAGGCTGGGGCTATAGCTCAGTGGTAGAGTGCTGTCCTAGCACATGTGAGGCATTGGGCTCGATCATCAGCACCAAAAAAAAAACAATAAACAAATAAAATAAAGGTATTGTGTCCATCTATAGCTAAAAACAAAGAAAGAAAAAGAAAATTTTTTTTATGTTCATAGAACATTTACAAAAATTGATCAAGATCTTAGTTATAGAGAAAAATTTTAAGATGTAGAGACAGACCACACCTTTGGACTATCACACAAACAATTAGAAATAATAAAATGTGATTAACTTTTCACTCAGCTTCTTCATAGCCAAAGTGAATGAATAAATAAATATGAGAAAAAGAAAGCAAGCAATCTCTTATTGTCCACCAACAAGAGACTATATAAGTTAACTACGGAAGAGACTGTGCTAATAGCAAAAATAAAAACATTTTCATTACCTTAATTTCTGCAAGAGATGCCATTGCCCACGCAATGGTGGATCGAAGTCCAGCAGTCTTGATGTAAGTTCTGCTGGCTAAGGGGATTCTACAAAGAAAAGAAGCTGTTTACATACCAAATATTACTATATATTAAAGAACAGGATATAAATAAAAATGATGAATCTGTCTGTATCTAGAACCACTTTAGTACATTCATCTAACATATCTCAAGAATTATCTAAATTAGAAAAATTTTAACCTTATTCAAAATAATTCTCTAATGGACACTTTGTCTAACCAGCCACTGTGGTACTTAAATTCTTTGGAAACTGAAATTTAAACTCTCACGTTTAATTTATAAAAATTTAATCACACATGAGGGAAATCTTTCTCATTTAGTATTTCCTTATCTTCCCATATACAACAGACCGTTCCTTTCTCTCTGGAGTCAAGAGGAACACAGTTTTTTGATGTAGGTGTAGTTGGATGAATGGATATTAACCTTCAAACCTGTTTTCTACCAAAAAATCCCTTTTGTAAGTTTGCTTTTTGCTCATTTGCATCTTTCTCAAAAGATGAAATGAAGCATGACAATCCACTGTCTAAAATAAATTACTGAATAAAGGGATGAAGCAGACATCTTCCAATTCAGTTTACTGGTCTCTGTTCTATATCACTATATTGTTACTAATCACCATCGTTACTATTGGTGTTTCCAGAATTGATAGAAATTTTCATAAAATGTTAAGATATTGTCAAATATATTATTTCAAACTTTCTAATGCTATAAGCAAACAACATCTTGGAAATTAAAGTAGTTATGATTTCAAGAATTTGTGATGGTTTGTTCTGGGGTAGGCTTATTCTGAAACTACTAAGAGGGCTCTTCTATAACATTACCCAAACACACAGTGTTCTCCACTCTTCTTAAAGACTTTCAACAGAATTCCATGTATATAAATTTATTAAATATTGATTTCTTCCATGATATATTTCCTCATCTTTTTTGATTTTAAATTATCCTGTCCTGGTTTATACTAACTGCAAGCCCTTTAGTGCTTAGAAATAAGATGATATACCCCTTTCAAATAGAACAGTGTAGTAGTATGCCACTATAATGAGAAAGTTCTGCATGGCAAACCCATGGGAGCTTTGCTTTTTAATTAAGTTTTTTTTTTTTTCAGGAAACACTAATTCATATTATAAGTAATACTGTATCTATACATTCGAAATCAAGAATGTAAACTGGCAGGTGAAAAGGCTATAAAATATTTCAATCAATTAATCACTTCTACAGGGTAAGTTCTACTGGTAATTCTACAGGCAACTGTCTTGTTACAAAATATTTTACACCAAAAATACATGAATAAATAAATAAAATAATAATTAAATAAAAATAAAATAAAATAAAAATGACACAGTATGGAAGACCATCTTTTTGGTCTCTAAATTTTATTTTATTTTTTATTGATTCTTTTTAGTTACATAAAACACTAGGATATATTCTGATATAATCACAAAAGCATGAAATATAATTTGCTCTAATTGAGTCCCCAGCACTCCCCACTTCCTCCACTCCCTCCCCTGCTCCTCTCCCTTTACTCTGCCAATTTTATGCAATTTATTTATAGTTTTTTTAAACATTAGTGTCTTGTGGGTATAGCTGATGTTGCGATCCACTGTGGGGTATCCATGTAGTGCAAACGGAAGTGTAGTCACCTTCACTCCACTGTTCTTCCCTCTTTCAGACCCTCCTTCCTCCCTCTCAATCCCCTCTCTACTCTACTGAGCTTTCCTCTATTTTGATGAAATTCACTCTCCCTTTTCTGGAAGACTATTTTCATGTATATGTATTACAAAGTTTATATTACCAACTTCTAAGTAGCAGGGATTTATGTGGAACCTTCAAATTTTTGACAATTATGTATACATTTTTACCAACACAGCTTTTATTTTGTGGAGCTAACTCTACTAAAATGTCATAAATGTGAATATGTTTTTACTTTGCTGAAAGCTAGGTGAAAGTGATCTGCTATTATTCCAATAAATGGTCCCTGTTAAAATCAGTATAATAAAATTATTCAGGGGAAGACAGTATTCACAACTCCTTGCAAATAAAAACAATGCTCTACTTTCATAGTGTCTGACTGATGTTTTAAATCAGATTGTAGCTGGTTTTTATGTAGTTCAAAGTAAATGTGTTTTTTTGCCCCCCTTTCCACATAGATATATTTCTTTTTTATTCTCTTGCACATCACGACAAATATACTCTTACCTACATCTCTAGCCTGGATTTGAGCCCCAGATTTTTATCTTCAAATACCTGCTTGGGCATTTTTACCTGGAGGTGAAGTAGTGCATGTTCAATAGCTGTAAAGTGAACACACTCTCCTCTCCCTCTTTCTTGCATATACGTTACTGTTTTCTTATTCCATTTGCTATCCATATATTGGACACCCTAATGTATATCTTCAGTCTAGACTTGCCACCTGAACTTCAGGTGGCAATATCTACTTGGATGTTTGTCACTGAATACAGTTTCCTTTCCCTATATTTTGTATCTCAGTGACTTACACTAACATCCTCTAGTTGCCTAAATCAGAAATATGAAGGTTTTCCCAAGACTCCTTAACTTTTCCATGAATTCAGTCCTTCTGTTACCCCCAATTTTTGCTTTGGTTCAGTTCTTCATCATTTATTGCCTGGACAGAGTTTAAATCCTCTCTCTTTTCCATTTTAAAATATAATTTCCTTAGTAATTATTTAAAATCACAAATATGATCACATTACCCTTGCATTTCAAATTCTTATGGCTTTTAGAATGAAATCCAAGTTGTTTAACATGGCTTACAAGACACTTTGTGCCTTTTCCTTAATTGTTCAGTCTAATTTTTGACCACTCTCTTGTACGTACACTCGGTCCCATCTGTACTGGGACTACATGTCATCCCCTCATAACTCAAGCTTCCTTACATCTCTGTGCCCCTGCACACACTACTCCTTGTCTGTAAGAGTTTTTCCTTCTTGTGTCTACTAACGAGCCCTTACTTATTCCCTTCAGGACTCTGCTTAAGTGACACTGCTCCATGTTCTTTTCCTCATGTCCTACTTTAGCTAAATCCTTTTTTAGTTGGGCAATCATTTATCATATGTCTGTTTTACCACTAGACCAAATTCCTTGAACTTTGGGTGTCTGGTACACAATTGATGTTTCAAAGGAAATTAACGGGGTGAATTAATCTCACTCTAGTAAATGCTTCTCCTCTGACTAGCTGCTGACTTAAAAAAAAAAAAAAGTTGAAATTTATTCAACACTTCCTTATCCTAGAAATAGTACCAAGCATTTTCACATGGAGTATCTCATTTATCTCATTCAATTCCAACCACAAAGCTATAAAGTAGGTAATATTATTTTCCTGATTTTATAAAAAACAGAGAAATGATAAACTGCCCAAACTTGCAGTTAAATGGAAGAGAAGGGAGAATTCAAGTCCATAGTTCTTATCCATTATGCCATCACTACTAGGTTAGATGTACAGTTAATGGCCTATGGGGCTAACTAATACCCCAATAGTTCTTTTCTTTAAAGAAAGTAAGGCTCTATTATGAACAATATATACATTTTGATGTAATCTTCAAATATCCTGTCTGTTCTATACTGTTTCATCACTTCTCACTTTTTTTTTTTTCTGTTTTCAGGGTCACCAGCTTGTCCCTTCTTTTGTCAAATGCTATCTGCTCTTCATGTCTTCATGTCACTTTTTTGCTCATACCCAGTAAATTGTTCTTTTTAGCCAACACATCATCAAGACCATTTCTTCCTTCACTAGCTAGTAAAACTGACTTATCACAAAGCATCTATTAAAATCTTATCTACACTCAAGATCTGAGTCTTAATTTTCAGGTACATACCTTGTGTCTGTAAATTTTTAAGTGTATCACCAATTAATACTTAAAATGCCATAAGCCTGACTCCTTGAGTGTTTCTATGAACATAAAAATAATTTGAAATAATAAAATATAATGTCTTTAAATGCTATATAAAGCTATATATGTTTGTTACATAAGAGTATTTAACACTTCTGTATATAATTAAAAATTTTTTAAATTAAAAGACAGTAGAATAAATCTAACATAATTTTCCTATGTACACATATGAAAATGCCCATCCATAAGAATGGGGTCCTAATTAGAGTAAGATATATCCCATGCTTGTATAATTTTATCAAAATGGATTCTACCATCATGTATAACTAAGAAAAATCAAAAAAATAAAAAATAAAAAAATGTTTATATATGCACACACATAAATTAATTAATTAAAATAATTTTTAACTACATTATAAATTCTATTAAAAACATTTCATATCTTGCTTGTTTTGTTAACCCTTCCTATCTTTGTTTTGGTGATCATCAATATTATTCTGACAAATGTGATCATTTCTTCAGTCTTCCCATCCTTCATGTCAGTTATGAAATCTTAAAATGCAAGATAGGCAAAAGTATTGAAATTAAAGTCAATCAGTTTTATAAATATTTTACAGTGATTAGGGCCTGGAGTTACAAAAGGTACTGCAATAGGGCACCCTAGAAATGGTTTAGGTGTAGGTGTAGGAAAGCAGGATAGGTTTGATCTGCAAAAACTTGTAAGGTATTGGGGTAGGTGGGGTCCAAGAGAAACGAATAGGGCATTGACATGTGATGACCTCTCAGGACTTATGGTGCCAAGAAATTTTACTTAGCATGTAATGTGATCTTTGTTGGTGATGGAAATGCTGGTAGAGCCTACCATACGGCTGGCACATAGCAAGGTACTCAACCATTCACCATTCTTAGATATCTACAATGTTCTGAGCATTGTGCTGGTCAAATACTAAAGCTCACCCTTAAATAAAAGTTTTTAATCTTAACATAAAACTTAATAATCTTAAACATTTAAAAATATATCCTGATTTAAGATTTCAGATGCATAAATATGAGCTTAAGGTAAATACATTATTCTCACAGGATTTTCCAGATCTTTAAAACATCCTACTGCCTAAAATCACCTAGGAAAAGGGTATTTAAGTCACTTATATAAGGAGTTATGCATATAAAATGAAGTTTTATTAATATTTGCTATTAATATTTACATTCTTCCAAGAAACTGGAAATCAATGGTTTTATTCAACCAGGTCTTTCTCCCCAGAACACCTAAACAAAGTACCTGTCACACAGGAAGAGTTCATTAGGTATTTCATAAAAGAAACAAATCATTGGTATTTATTATTATTTAGTACTCTACATGACTAGGGAGACCCCTGAAAAATTTAAAAACTAGCAATAACCTGTTACAATAAAAGAATAATGACAATAAAATCTGGAGAATATTCAATATGAATTTAAAGAACTACATTATATTTTCTATATATTTCTAATATGCCAACAGACTAAAAATTTTAGCTTAAACATCGGTTTGAAAAAAATCACTTAAAAACCAGAAATAATTAGATGTAATTTTCAGTATTAATCATGTAATCAATGGATGATTGTGACAAAATTTTTCACAGCTCTAAGTGGTCAGATCAAGTCACATCCACTAAGCTCCATGAAAACATTTTCCTGGATTAAGCAAAGAACTCAAAATGCTTTACCTTTTGCCTCCTCTGTTTTATCATTATTTCATATTATTAAAAAAAAAGCACACAGTTTTTAATTTCACAAACTCTTCAGGGACAAACCTGAAGCTTAGAATATAATAGTTACCTGAACACAGGAATCCCCACCACAAAGTAAATGTCATTTAGATGTACAAAGATCTGAAAGAGCAAACACAGGAGTTCATATGGAACAAGAAAATACATGACCAAATTACTGACAATATGAAACTTCTATTTTGAATTTATGTAACAGATATTTTAATATGAAATTCCAAGGCTTATTTGCCATATCTGGAAAAATGTTTCATAATCTTTTTTTTTCTAAAAGAGGAAAACGAAATTTTAAGAACATTACATAGAAAAATTCTGAGGTCAATTTGGTACATACATTATATGGAGAATCATGTTACAAAGAACTCAAGATCTTTTTCCTCAGAGATTATTTTATCACAACGGAATTAGACTTTTCAGCTTTTTGGGTTAGAAAAGACTTCCTAAATATACCACAATTCTAACCTCAAGTAAGACTTGAGCCCACACAAGGTTATCATGAGCTACAAATACCTGCAGTGTGATAGAAAACTTTCTTCAGGCCAAATGTATGGTAGCAAGAGTGTCCTTTCTATCTACTATCTCTAGGTGAGTTTTTGCCTCTTTTATTTCCTTTCTTCTGTTAGGCCATGCAGAAAATGTAAATGCTTCAGATACTAGTAACCCACATGAATTAAAAAAGTTAGAATATCACTTTTGTAGTCTGATAAGGTTTAAGGAATATTTAACTGCCACTTTGAACCTTAAGAACATTTGATCCCTGGTACTGCCATCCCAAACTCAGGGCAGTATGCCAAACAAGTGTTCTATCACTAAGCTATACCCTCCGGCCCCTCAAAGTTATTTTTAACATAAGCAGTTTAGTCAGAATTGTTCCAATATTGATATATTTTCCTAAAAAATAATTATCTAAAGTGACTCATTTTAGAAACTTAATTCTTTGATCAACTGAAACATCACAGTTAAACTTCCCAATTTTTACACAGAATTCACTGTAGCAACATTATTTATTAAAATTCTTTTCTATTTATAATTTATACCAAAGATATGATATATTTTTGATTGATCTTCTTTTTACATATCAAATATTAAAAACAGCTTCTCCATTATAAAATTTTTTTCTATCAACTTGCCAAACAAAATTTGTTAAGATTTGATTCTCCTGTCAATTTTCAGTCACAAATTTTATTACATGTGATTTCAGTGTTGTCAATTTTTTATTTTGTATGATTGTTTTTTACAGTTATAGCTATTATTGATTTCATTAAGGCTTGTAGAAATTAAATTTGCTATTTTTATAAGCTCAGCTATGAGAAAACAGTAATTCTGACAGTAAGATGGGGAGACAAAAAAGGAAAGTGGGAAGAAGAAGGAAAGAGAACTGAAAAGGCGGGATGGGTATAAGACACCTTATTCAGGGGCATCAAAATATTTTTCATGAAAAGATGGACATATACCAGGTGTTATTTTTTAAAAATTGAAAAATATCAACTAAAACTAAAACTATAGAACTATAAAACTGAAAAAAAAAACCATAAAGTGTTTTGAGTTGGCTAGTTATTACTCCATTTAGAGCAATATAACAAGCAATTAATTTATGAATTAATAAATCATGAAAATGACTAACTATCTGTCAAATTCATGAGATGGTTTTCAAAACAAAGAGAAGAATAATTTCTGCTACTCCATGTAACAATACTATTAAATTTTATGCAGGCCTTCTTGTTGCTATTGACTTTAAACAACAGCTAGAATTTCTTATCAGAGACTTGTTATGTATTATAGAAACTGAAGAGAGCATCTCTGCAACCTCGCAATGGGTACTTTATTCTTCAGCTGTGAACAAACAACTTCCTTCCTTCTAAGTGTCTTTTCTTTTTAAATTTGGATAAAGCATTTTCACAGTGAAACTACTAGAAAAACTGTTTGCACTCTTCTACTGTTAAAGACAAACTAGACTACTGAATCCGTACAGACATGGATTTTAACAACTGAAAAGTATGATAAGAATAGGTTATATGTATATAAATTAAAAAGAATATTCATTACCTCTAAATTTGGAGTCCTCAAATCTGTTTTCCATCCAAACTGCTTCATAAGAGCAATTCCAATTACTCTTCCTATCTCCTGCAAAGTAGCAAGTTATAGAAAAGAATATATTAAAAATGAAAATCTGAAATTTAAAGAGAAGCAAAAATTTATAGAAAATCAAGTATTATAGAAAAATCAAGTCAGATTATCTGATGATAATTTAGGATCCCAATATTAAAATGTTACTCTGAAGCATTTTCTATTCAAGGCAATAAGGCTATATTTTATCTCCCTTACTCCTCAATATACCTATAGCATTAATGTCTACACATGAATAACATCTATTCTTGCAATTTTATGTATACAAAATCACAAGATCATGATCTGATGAATACGGTCATTCTAAGTTGTACGAAACAAAAGCAAGATGAAAGATTAACCATTTCAGATATTATCATCCTGTTTACAAATTACCAGAACAGTATCATTAAACCCCACTTTTAGGATTTGATTCTAAAGTTCACTAAAGAACTCAGACCAATGCCCTTTGTATCACTGAACTCTGTAAGGGTCAACCAATAAGGTTCTGTGGAAACTGTGGTGTCCACTCTTCCCTGAAGTGTGGAGTCCTCCTGTGTATTTGTGGTTGTAGGTCCTAAGGAAAATCCCACTATAGTACCTAGTGCAAAGTAGCCACCCAATAAGAAAAAAAAAGTATAAAAGAGAGCCCCTACAAAGCTGAAGACCATGGCATCAGGGTTTCCAAATGCAAAGGACATCTATGAATTTAAGAAAACCTTTAGGCATAAAATAAAAGGAGGTCATTACATGGAATGGTATGCCACTCCTTTTAGATACCTAGGGGTAAGTTAAAAGGGGAAATGCAATCTTGAAGGTATTGAGTCAAGTAAGATTAAACCTAATTATATCCTGGGCTTATTTATCTGTCCTATGGGAGGGCTGCCTCTCATTGTAAATCTCAGGAGTGATCAATTCATTCTTTTAGAAAATGGGACCACCGCATCAGGAGGTAAGCATACCTGTGCAGTAAAGGCTTTTCCGATAGTTCCACTACAGCGACAAGAAACCCGGAAAGTCAAGTCGTCCTGGTTATGAGCATCAACTGCTTTCCCTACATCATTCTGACATTCTTCTTCTTGAAGTGTTTCTTGGCCAGTGACAGAATCTCTTTGCTCGAGTGCATTTTCTTCTATTTGTTTTTCCAGCTGGCATTCCTTATGAGTTGTTTCAATCTTTTGCATTTCTTCTACTTTTAATTTCTTAGCAATAATTTCATTTTCTCCCATTTTTCTTTTTAGTGGGTTAGAAGCCCTTTGAGAAAGTGTTTCCTTTTTTGTATCAAGTTCAAGAAGATTTTTCCAAATTGAAATGGTATCCAACCAACTTCCTGGATCATCATTTATAAGTTTTTGTATTTCATTAAGTATTTTTCCTAAATAAATAAAATCTCACTTTAACCCATATCCCTTTAAAGACCATTTATACACTCATTACTCCCAAATCTCATTACTTTCTTTAAAATAAGTTTATTGAATTGTTACATGAATAAAATTTCACTTTCATATGGAACTTATATAATTTGTCATAAGAATATTATGCAGATTAAGTTAATTCTTATATACACAGCATCAATATTGCATTAAAATTCTCATATAATTACCATGTACTACTTTAACAAATTCATTTATCCTATGATAATAAATATATGTATCTCATGAATAAATACACAGACTAGAGTCTTTTAAATAATGGTGATCTTGCCTATAAAAATTAAGGTTTAAAAAAAAAGAATAAATTGTAAAATACAGAGTTCAGAAACTGGAGCAGCTAAATCTTGGGGTTATACAACATTAGCATGTATCTTAAAATGAGTTTTCATAAGTGAAACTTCATATACACGATCCATTCAAAACTTAAGGACTGCCAACATGTTCAGTAAAATTTAATCTTTTCTTGATGAATAAGGGTCATCAAGATGACCCAAAAGTAATTACTGCACTTCCCTAAAGATGAAGGTAGGTGGCAAACTGGGATGAAATTATATTAACCCCACAAGATAATACCTTGGGATTTACTTTAAAATATTTTTTCCTGCCCAGTCTTGATTTCTTGTCATTTGTATCCTTCTTGAAGTAGTTTATTAGAGAATATATAATTACATGATCTCTTGTGCACATCAGCAACCAAAATGAAGTATAAGGCAGTGTTTAATCCTGCAGTGTCTGGCCCTTTTTGCTGCTTTGATCAAGATTCTTAATTTATTTTCACAGCATATTTATAAAATATAAATGGGTAGAAATTTATTGAAATAAATTTAAGGTCCTATTACTCAATTAAAATTTATAAGGTGACAGTTTTCACCAACTTATTATTAAAATAATACATTTGGAGTTATTACATGCTTCTAAATGCAGATAAATGCAAATGACCAAATTTACATCTAGAGAAGTTGCCTGACCATAATTCCCAAAGAAAAAAATATGACTTTGGACATAAAAATCTCAGGAGACAGACAACAGATTGGAAAAAGGAAAAAAATAGATATCACTATCATTATGTGATAATGTCAGGAAAAAAAAACATAACTAATGATGCCATTTGTATGAATGACTTATGAATGTGAAGTTGTTACATATTAATTATTACATAGAAAACTTTGGAGTTCAATGTATTAAGTGGATAAAAAGCAAATAGGCATACACTGTACCTTTACGTGGAGAAGAAACAGTAAATGGAGACTGCTTTTTAATCAGCAAAAATAATCTTTCTGCAGATTTTAATTTCTTTAGCATATTCAAATCAGAAGAGGTGGTGAAAAAAACCTTTCCTGAAATATATTCAACCTAGAGACAGAAAGATATTAATGTGGTAAGAACTATCCTTTTCCCACTTAATTAAGACCATAGCCTCTAGACTAATAATTAAAAATGTCCATTTCCAAAGCATCTTTTATTTGTTAAGCATTACACTAAGAACTCTGAATACATATTTTTTTCCCTTTATCTTTCTAACACCCCCCTCTAAGGTAGATTTTATCATGCTTAATTTACAAATCAGAAACTGAGGTTTAGAATAGGTTAAATAACATGTTAAGTAGTTATCTATAAGGTTACACAGTCAGTGATCAAGATCATAGTCCTTTCATGTTACGTTTTAACACATACACATGCACATACTACTAGAAAAACAGAACATAAAATACTTAGTAAATACATAAACCTTAAACACTATTTAAAAGTGGGGGGGGAAAAGTTAAAGTGGATATTTATAAAACACCTGCCTGTGGTCCACCAGGAAGCATATGCCATAAATCCTGAATAATATTATAGTAGATATTATCATTAATAATATGATAGACATATACTGGCTGTTATGGTTTAAAAATGAGGTGTCCCCAGAAGCTCATGTGTGAGACAATGCAAGCATTTTCAGAGGTAAAATGATTGGTTTATGAAAGCCTTAATCTAATCAGCAGATTAAACTACTGATATGGATTAACTGGACAGTAACTATAAGAAGATAGGGTGTAGCTGGAGGAATAGGTCACTGGGGGCTTGCCTGTTTTGTCTCTGGTGAGTGGAGCTGTGTTTCCTTAGTGCCATGTCCTGAACTGCTTTCCTCTACCATGTCCCTTCCACCCTGATTTTCTGCTTCACCTCAGGTCCACAGCTATGGACCTGACCATTTACAGACTGAGACTTCTGAAACCATGAGCCCCAAATAAACTTTCTATTTTCTAAGTTGCTCTTGCCAGATCTTTTGGCCACAGGGATGAAAAAGTTGATTAAAACACTGGCATGAAAATTAAAAGGTAAACTGTATAACCCAAGAACTAGAAAAAAAAAAAAAAAGAACAAGTCTAATATTATAAAGCACTGATAAGCTATCTATACAATAAGTAGCACTGAAGGCCAATGTCACTTAAAGCACTGGGTAAGAATTCTTCAAGATTTGGGAAGAAGGCTAGTAACAAAAGAACAAGGAGCAGATGCAGAAGCAGAGAGAAAACCTGGCTGAGGTCAACTGTAAGTTGCCTTGGCAACTTTCATTGCATTATGCTGACTGATACTGTCGAGTGGATAGATGGTGTGGCCTAGGCCAGCTTGATGTACGGTCACAAATTTTGAGTACCACGGATGGTAATGGTCAGCCGATATAGAATTTTGATGAAAACTGTGACAGCACTGAATTAGCTGGCAGAAAAAATTACTTTGGAAGAGACATAAAGGACTGAGTATAGAATGTGATGCTGGAGGGAGAGGTAGATAACTGAGATAGAAATGATGAGACATTGGAAAATGGACAGAAGCAAGATATATACTGTTTCAAACAGAAACAGGCTTTGAAGACAGGGTATGTGGTAAAAGTAGGGAAGAAAGGAAATGAAAAGAGCTCTGACTTGTAGGAGCCTGATGTGGCAAATGGGGCTCAATACCAGTGGAACCCTAAACCTAATAGGGCCAACCCAGCTCTCTTAAGTTTAAGAAGGATGTGGACTGTGTTGGAATTCTCCTTCAGCAGTGGCCATGGGCTAACAGAGTTCTAAGTTATTTCAGAGAACTAAGGAACCAGGAAAAGAAAGGTACCCACACGCTAGGGTTTGAGCCTGTTCTTCAAGGGTCCATGTGCAGAAAGCTTGGTCTGTAATGTGGTGATTCTGAAGGGTGGTGGAATCTTCAAGGCCTAGTGAGAGGAGACTGGGTCATGACAGCCTCAAAAGCGATTCATGCTGCTCTTGCTGAGTGGGGAGTGTCTTGCAAGCTGGACATTATAAAACAGCAAGCTTGGCCCCTCCCTGCTCTCCTGCTTCCTTGCTCGCATACCTGCTCCTTCTATGTGCAGCTGGTTCTCTTTCTGTTTCTCTGCCATGTTGTGATTTGGACAGGGGTGACCCTTGTCAGACACTGGTACCATGCTGCTGGACTTTCCATCCACCAGAATGGTGAGCTAAATAAGCTCTTTTATGTATATACTATCCAGTATCGGGTATTCTGTAATAGCAATGCAAAACAGACTTAAGAGACTATGTGTTTAGGCAGCTACTATTCATAGGAACATGAAACCAAAGATTTGTTTTGTTTTGGCTCTGATTGAACATTTGCAATGGCAATTTCTAGAGTTACTATTCCAGGTTGATGAAAGAGGATTCTCTGGGGCTGGGGATGTGGCTCAAGCAGTAGCGCGCTCTTCTGGCATGGGTGCGACCCGGGTTCGATCCTCAGCACCACATACAAAGATGTTGTGTCTGCCGAAAACTAAAATGTGAATAAAATATTAAAAAAAAAAAGAAAAAAAGAGGATTCTCTGCCCAGGAAGCCCGAGGTTGGTACCAACTAAAACTCAAATAGCTTAGGTATCAGCAATGTAGTTGATCAAAGCAGATGGAGGAACATATGATGACATTATGGGAAGAAAACAAAGAATGAGAAGAATGTTTACGAATCAATATTTAGGGGGATGGTGAAGTAACCCAAACAAGATTTAACTCCTTTCTCATTACATAGGTGACATTTTCCAAAACTAAATATTTACCTCAAAATGCTTAGACCTTGAAAAGAGAGTTTTAAAAAGTAAACTTTTTGAAGTAAGATTTGTTACCCAGTGTAAGAATATATATGATATCAAAGCCCTCCCAAGACAATTTCACAGACCTTGCTAAGATTCTGGGGAAACTGAACTAAATATTTTACTGAAAATGTATGGTTTTAAGAATTAAGTCCTAAAAGCAAGAAAATGAATACAAACCCTTAGATCAGGGACTAGACCTTCATAGTCAGTGATCTGGATATTTTGGTTCCTTAACTATACAAAGATGTTATCTTTTCTTATTTGAAAATTAAAGGAAACATTTTAAACAGTGAGCTTTCTTTAAAAATATCTCCTAAAAAGAACATGACTCAGTATTGATTAAGAAAACCGAAAGACTTTAATTTATTTAGGGTTTTAAATCACAAGGATAGTGTATGTTGATGCACTAAATTGCCAAATACATTCTCAGAACCAAAAAAAAGCAATGTTAGTCTTTTTAAGAATTAACATAAAGCCTGCATTGTTTTTATGAGTAATAAGCATGTAATCAGAAGTAGTTTACTAAATTATGAGATAGTCTCTGTGAGAATAAAATAATCATATTTGTGGACACACAGTTTACGCTTCTTGAAAACTGGATTTCATCTTAAAGCAAGAGGGAGACTGAATTTTGGTGCTTATAATTTCATCAACTGCTAAAGCCAGCACTTCTCTTTTTCTTCAGTTTATTGCTGAGAATTGATCATATTCACTTACAGTAGAGATAAATGTAAAATTTTAGAATATTTCAACCTAATATTTGTTACTTGAAAATTTATATATTTTTTTCTCCTTGGAATTAAACTATATCTAAGTGTCTAAACACTGGTTTATGCCTAACATTTCTGAAATTAAATAACAGCTCTATTATCTGCTAGAATATTATTAATCAGCATTTTTTCTTCCTTTTAAAATTCATGGATTCAAGTCTAATCCAAAGATTAAATGTTTAGATCTAGGTAAAATCATATGATATTACAGGGAGGTAATACAGTCTTCCAGGACTGTAAAGAGTCTTTTCTTTATACTCAGTCTGTAGTATTCTATTAGAGCAATACAAAAAGGACAAAGAGAGGAACATGCTAAACTACACCACGGAAATGGGATTGCAAAATCTAGACCTGGGGAAACTATCAGTGCTGTCCAATAGCTTTCTGCAGCAATGGAAATACTATATAACTCCTGCTGTCCAATACGGTAGCCACCAACAGTGTGGTTTCTGAGCACCTAAAGTGTGATTAATGCAGCTGAAATAGTGAATTCTTATCTTATCCAACTTTATTTTTAATTCAAATAGTCATTTATTTTGAATTTAAATTTGGTTAGTGGCAACCTTATTGGACAGCACAGCCTTGTCAGAAAACTAGGCCTAAAGGCTAAGAATGACTTTTATACTTTTAAAAGGATGTAAATATAAAACAAAGAAGAATACATGTAAAGAAGCCACATCTGATTTATAAAACCTATGATTATTACTATCTGGCCCTTTATAGGAAAAAGTTTTCTGGCTCTGGCAATCCAACTTCTTTAAGACACAGTTTGCAAGGGGGAGAAAAGTGAGAGATGGGAACGGGGGTAAATCTGTAGATTAAATTGCTTAGAAGTATACTGGCCAAGGTATGGAAAGTATTTGAATCCTGATTCAAATATCAAACTTAAAAAACAAAAGTGATATTTAAGAGACAATTTGAACACTTGACTAGATATTTGATAAGGAATTATTTTTATCTGTGACAATAATAATGTGGCTTACATTTTTTAGAGCCAATATACTATATTGTATTATATTATGTATAGTATTTTAAAAGAGTCCTTATTATTTAAAGATAAATAAATATTTACAGATGAAATGATTCCTGGAGTTTAATTCAAAATAACATGGGGATAAAGAGTGGCAGGAGGTGTGAATGGGGCAGAATTCACCATGGGTTGATCTTTTCACAGTTGGTCGGTAAGTATGTAGAATTCTTTATACTATTCTATTTACTTTTATATCTGCACAAAATTCTCCATAAACAAAGCTAAAAGGAATACACAGGAAAATTTTCTACTGTGCACTGAGCAGTTTGTTGGCGGAGTCACCTGGGAAGGGAGAGTGTTTCATGTTCAAATGTGAACACCTGTGCTTATCAGCAGCTCTACTGAAAGAAAACCTTTTGAGGTGCGCACCCGGGGATATGGCATTTTCAGCAAGCTCCCTCGGTAATTCTTATGTTCACTAAAATTGAAAAAACACTGATTAAAATTGAATGATTACTTTCTAAAAGTAAACAATCACTTCTGAGTTAATTTGTTTTATAAATTCCTGGTTTTGAATATTAATTTTTCTTAAAGCAAACCAAAGTTTCTGACAGACTCTCGTCACTACAGGAATGGTCTTAAGTATTCCTGTGCAACTCCTGTGGGACCTAACATTCACTGAGCACTAACTGTTTGTCATGCACTGTGTTACCAATCTATCCTCATTTGAATGACTGAATTAATCCTGTAGGTACTACAAAAAATAAAAAGTGGGTACTATCACCTTTTTTCACCTCCAAGAAAACAAGCTTAGCAATTTGAGTAATTTGTGCTGTTGAGAGCCACAGCCAAAGGGGCCCCAACAAACTTCCAGCTACACAAGAGAAGCTTGTGTGGGAGAGAGAGGCTTGTGGAAAGCCGGTGGTACCAGTTGAGGCTCTGAAGGTTTTCCTGAGAGGCTATTTTGTTTGGCGTGTGTGGTTCTAAAAATAAAGTTAGTTTCTTTTGACAAGTGGCTCCTGATTGTGCCCAGCCAGACTGCGGCATTGTGCAAAGATACAAATCTATTACAGGAAGATGTAAGGTATGAATACATGTCTTTGATTCTAAAGCCCACATATGCTGTTTGCCAAGGTGTTATGGAAATAACCTATACCCAATGTTACAGGGCAATTTCTCGCATGACAGTTGGAGCTCTGTAATGCAGGTTTCCTATCTGCCGATTCAACTAATCTCAGATGAAAAATATTTGGAATAAAAGCCTATGTTTGAACATACATCTATAGAATTCCTTCTCATCATGATACCCTAAACAATATAGTATGATTAGTATTTGTAGAGCATTAGCATTGCATTAGATGTTATAAGTAACCTAGAGATGATTTAAAGCATGCGGGGGATATGTGTAGGTTAGATGCAAATATTACACCATTTTACATAATGAATTTTGGCAACCGTGGATTTTGGTGTCTGAGCAGGGGTGGTCCTGGCACCCATCCTCTCTCAGATACTAAGGGACAACAGCAATTGAGCTACCATATGGGTTACAAAGCTAGAGAGATTCTGATACAAGTCCCTATTCCACTATTTTGGACTAGTTTTCTCGCTGCCATGAACTGAGTATCTTTCCTCCATCATGCCCTTCAGTCAAAATGTTCTGTCTCAACTTAGGTCCAAAGCAATGGAGCTGGCGGACCATGGACTGAAATTTCTGAAAATTGTGAGCCAAAATAAAAAATTTTCTACTTTGTGTCAGGTATTTTGGCCACAGCAACAAAGTTGACTAACACGTCCCTAAAACATACAAGAGCAGAATATGGAAATTATCTTGGCATTTAACTACTCTCATTGTCAAAAAGTTTTCCCTATACTAATTGAATTTTCTAACTTCCCCATCTCATTTTGTCTCTAAAGAAGACAAATAAGCAGTGAGGGTCTTTTCCTAATAAGCCTATGTAACTAGATTGGATCAAGCCTTCTATTTTTCATACCAAGCATTCCTGGTTAACATTAGAATAAAACAAACCAGTGCAGGATTACATATGGCTACATAATTGGCCTGGGTTGAATATGATTATATACTCATGCTTGATTTCACAGGCAGCTTGGGTATGAATCTCACCTTTGCCATTTTCTGGCACAAGACTTGAACAGATTATTAAATCTACCAGAGCTTTATTTTCTTCATCTGTTAAACGTGGAACACTTACTTCTTAGGGTCATGAAAATTAAGCAATTAAATTGAGGGTAAGGACCTAAGAGCATGTGCCTGACACATTAAATGCTTGAAAAATGCCAGCAATTATTATTACAGAGTGACTATTTTAGATTAGCTACATTCAATACTTTATTAAATTCTGTGACCCAAGCCACCAATGGCAGGTGGTCTAATAGGGCTGATGACATTTTTGTGACTGTCCACCCACACTTTAAACCTCCACTGCAGAAACTCTTTTGTGGGCCTCCAACACTGTAGGAGCTCCCTGAGGGAAGTGGTCTACTTGGTTTGCAAGCTTTCCTTTTCCAAGACCACATTATTCACAATGTCCTATACACCCCATCAAGATGCCTTTTCTAATTACATCTTTTCATCTTTACCTTCTGGTTTCAAGAACCAGCTCAGCAGTTCTAGACCAAAAAAAAAAAAAAAAAAGGTGTTTAAAACCTTGTTCATTTCATTGAAGTTAAAAACAGCTAAGTATGAGGCCTGCAAGAGCATATTATTTTTCCAGCTATTGTTGTTGAATGTTTAAGGTGTACTTTAAATACCCTATATCGTTTGATCCTCACAATAATTTTAAG